TGTGCACACGTTGGCACCGGCCCACGTGTGCACAAACCTCTCCCTCCCCCCCAGGTCCCCCCGATGTGCGTATTTAGCTATCCGCACAGATGGGCGACTTCAGTATTAGTATAAGGATAAGCTATTGACTATCTGACTGTGCAGTCCTACGCAGACTTCAGTGGACTTAGGAGCATGTAATTCTGTTTAGAATTGCACTTTGGAAGTTGTACTATATCATATATAAGTGCTATATCATATATAAGTATAAGTATAATTCTGAGGAGGAGGCAGGGATAAGGATCTGAAGGTACCTTGGCAACGTTATTGACAAATAAGAAGGAGGGTCAACAACAGCTGCATGTTGTTGTATTTTCTGCCCTTTGCTTTAATATTTGCTGACCATGCAGGTAATCCTGGTCATCTCAAAGGCCTTAGTAGTTATCATCCTGTATTAGTTATCATGCTAATTGGCCATCATTGTAACAGGACCAACACAGCCTCCTATGATTTGTGGGGAACCAGGTTTATTTTAAACTTCCCCTCAATTACTAGGTGTTCTAAAGGTAGCAAGTTTTAGTTCACTGCTGTGAGGTAAGTTTTGTGGTGCACCAGTAGAGTATGGAGGTCACTGAGGCAGGAATTCTATATTAACCACAAACAAGATTTGTTTATTTACAGATTGGTTTTCCATGAACATATCAACAGCACAGGACTCCTTTTTTTATGCCCCCCCAAGGAGATTTTTTATTTGCATTTTCTATAAACTACAAAAACTACAACTAAAAATTGGAAGGGGGAGGGATACTAGAACCCTAACACTCTAACTATGGAAAATGGGAAAAGGACAAACTAATACATAAAAACTACTTGATGGGGAAAGAAAACTACTATTCTGAACTATTTCATCTATGGGATTTGAGAAAGGAAAGCTAATACATGTCACGATCTAATTAGCTAAAGTAAGCCTTATTATCCTGATGTTACAAGTTTGGTATACAAGTTGGTTCATTGCAATATTGCTTTAAGAATATGCATTTAACATGCTTGGCACAAATTCTGCCTGATAGACAAAAGAGAAACCTAGTTGAGGCACATTAATTTAGAGAGTCATTTCAATTTTCTAAAATAAAATACTTTCCAGCATAAACTGGATTTTACTGATTAGCCATTCAGTTGGATCCTAACACAGACACAGGATCCTAACACAGACACTGCCAGAGACAGGCCTAACAACTGGGCACTTGGTCAGAAGGAGAGCTAAACCACTCTGCCACACTACCAAGCAGAGCTACCCTTCACTCTGTCTGCCCTTTTCCTGAGCCAGACCTGAGCTCTTGTTGCTTTCTCCCTGAGGCTGAGCTGAACTCCTGCTGTGCTTCCCTTCAGCATCCCATCCCCCTTCTCAAAGGTGATTGGATGCTGGAGCAACACTCCAATTGGCTCAAGTGAGTGGCTGTTTTCCCCTTTAGGGGCAGGACAGCCTTCTGTCCATAACCCAATTTCCCTTCGGAAACTCATTGACATAGGCGAGACCATTTTCATGTCTCTGCCAGGTCAATGAGGCACACTTACTCTTTATTATGTCCCAGTAATATTAACAAGCAATATAAACATTGGCATACAGATATAGTACAAGAAAACAGCAAATGGTACAATAACACTTCTACCTGCCAGTAACCTTTGGTAAGGTCCAGAGAGGTGATGTACTGTGCTGGCCCCAAGGTTTACACTAGTTCATCCACTTGGGATGTGTCCCCCCCTTGTGACTTAGCTTCCCGTAGTCAATGCAAATCCGGTGGTTTGGTCAGGCTTCTGTACTAGGACTTTGGGGGAAGACCATGGGCTTTCTTATGGCACTATCGCCCCTAGATCCAGGATTTATTTGATTTCTCTTTCAATACAGGTGGCATTATACCCTGTCACCCTATATGGGGCTGTGGCTGCCTCGCCTGCATTGAGCTTGTGCTGAATGAGCTGAGTCCTCCCAGATTTGGAAGAAAACACATCAGCATATTCAACCAAGATTACCTTCATCTATATCAGTTGTTCATTAGTGAGAGCAGAGGAAATGTTAACATCCTCAGCTCCATCCTTAGATGAGGTTTCCCCTCATCCCTCCAGAGCTTGTCCTGTTTCCCCCTCTTTACAAGCCAGGAGTACCATCTGACTTCTTTCGGAGTAGGGTTTAATGTATTGACATGGTACAACTTGTTTTGATCACCCTCAGGGAACACATTTACAAGGTAGTTTATGTCAGATACCTTAGCCACAATTGCAAAAGGCCCTTCCCAGGCGGTTTGCAATTTGTGTTCCCTTTTAGGTCGCAAGACCAGTACCTTGTTCCCAGGTTCAAAAGATCTGTCTTGGGCCATGACTTGGATAGCACAAGGAAACCCGATCTGTCAGATCTCTGAAGCTAAGCAGGGCCAGCCAACCTCCAAGGAATACCAGGGCTGAGACACAGAGGCAGTCAGTAGCAAGGCATCTTTCTGAAACATCCAAGCCCCACTAGGGGTCGCCAGAAGTCAACCATGACTTCCAAGCATACGCAAACAGAATACTAAAAAAGAAAAGAAAAAAGATCTGTCTTGGGCTCTTGCATCATACCAGTTCTTTTGCTTTTGCTGGACACGATGAAGATTCTCTCCTGCAGCTACCAGCAACTCACGCAGGGTGTTCTACAAGTCTCCCACATATTGCACAAATGTCTCTGGTTCAGGAACATCTTCTGCGTCCCACGTCTCTCTGATGATGTTGAGGGGTCCTCACACACTCTGACCATACAAGAGTTCAAAGGGGCTGAACCCAGCTCTCTCCTGCAGGACTCATGGACCCGGTGCTGTCCTGCACACAGGCAGCAGGTGCTGTAAGTGCTCGTCCCAGTTGTTTGGGCACGTTGCAGTATAAGTTTGGATCGTCCTCACCAGCATTCCATCAATCTGTTCCACTAAGCTGTTCATCTCAGGATGGTGTGAGGCTTTCACGCCACATACAACCCATAGCCACATATGCCCCAGAGTGGACATAAGGGACTTATGATCTCTTTGGGAAAACTGCATCTACAGAAAAGAGACAGCAGTGCATCTGCTTCTTTGAGTGCCTCAATGTTGTTCAAAGGCACTGCTTCAGGAAACCTAGCAGCTAAGGCAACTAGCATCAAAATATGCCTGAGTCGTCTTCTGGTGGGTTCATTCAGGGTGTTCTACAGACACTTCAGATGGGACTTTTCTGGCTAATTGTATCAACCTTTTTAAAGTCTTATCAGCTTGCTGGTCTGTAATCGGCATACCAAGCGGTATATTCTCCTCCACCAGCCAGTGTGGTTCTCTAAGCAATGCTTGCTCTTGGGCTCCTGTGTTGCGATTTCCCTCCCCTTCTGAGGAGTTCTCTCTGACAGAACTCAACTCCTGCTGTGCTTCCCTCCAACATTCCATCCTCCTCAAAGGTGATTGGATGCTGGAGCAGCACTCCCATAGGCTCAAGTGAGTGGCTGTTTTCCCCTTCAGGGGTGGGAAAGCCTTCTGTCCATCACAATCATCAACTCCCCCAGTCTTGGAAACTGGAAAAGGGCTTTCAGGATCATGAAATGTTGTGATGTCCAGTAACCATAATTTCTTGGCTCATGTTTACAGTGTGAAATTTGGCATTTTAGAATGTTGGGTACAGCTCATGTGAGCAAGAAATAGGTTGTTGAAGTAGCCCTGAAGTCCTGTACTTCACTCCTGAGCATCCCTCTCTCAAAATGTACAGCTCAAGCCTATATCCAGGTCTCAACTTACTGCTTAAACAAACTTAGAGACTGAAACAGGCTAGGATCCTGTGAGGCAAAGCACCCTGATCCCCCCCCCCTCCAGGTTAACATGAATATTAACAGGCCTGCTCCAGCTTGCAGGTGTCCGTAACTGGGCCTGCCTGCCTACACCATCCTTATGTCCTTCAAAACTGGAATCAAGAATCAAGAATGTGGGAATCAAGAATGTGGTAATTGGCTTTCATGAGAACCTGCGTTCATTTCTGTAACTAGATGGAAGGGGGGAAGCAGGAGTGAATGCAGTCATCTTCTGGAGGGTTCCATCAAGTGAGCTCCCTGATTGGGTGGGGGAGACCAGATGGCCAAAGACTATAATTGAGCCATAGACAAGAGGGAAGCCATGCTAACTTCATGATTCGACTGGGCAGTGGCTCTGACTCTGCCAAGTCCCATCATGATGGACTACTACACAGATAACACTTAAGCCTCTAGCTTGGCCTCTGATATTCTAAAAGGCGTGCCATCAAATACCAGGTATTGAAGTATTAGAAAGAGAAGTTAGCATTTCTTATTTTCTTGATGAAGAATTGTAGAGACTGTGTTGCCTAGTGATATCTTATTTCTTAAAGTATTTAAGAAACCTTCATATATTTTACAGAGTTCTGCTTTCTTGTGTGCAGATAACCTTGAGGACCTGCAAGTCTGAGCACTGCTCGCTTGGCCAAGGGGTGGTGTCTCAGAGGGACCCGGGTTTGGGTCCTTGACAGATCCAAAGACCAGAAAGGTGGTTTCCATGCATATACTGGAGCTTTAGGCTCCATCGTCTTGCAGCAGTCCCGATGTGCCCCCCCAACCACTTAAGAGGATCTGAGCACTTTCAGTGCATCACTCAACACACGAGGAGCATTTCTACTGGCATGAAAAACCAGTAGCATGAATATGGACACCTTTGGCACACAAACTGGGCTGTTTGGATTCTGGCCTCTTGTATTTACTACCTCATATTTCTCACTGTGCAAAGAATAGCCTGTTGATGCAAATATATTCTCCTAAGTAATCACTTCAAGTTTTGGAAAGCAGTTTAATAATAATAGATGTGATCTCTGTGCAATTAGGTTGAATTATCTGTATTTAGCCAAGGTAATTTAACCAAGAGTGAATGACCACATGTTCATTTAGCTTCATGTAGAACAATAAACCACCATTTTTAATTAATTGCTTCCTCCACACCCCTTCTGTATTGTAAATTGTGCTATTTCCTTTACAGTTGATGGTGACCGACTGATTATGAAAGGTGCCAATTTGACAGTTAGAGACATGTTGAAGGCATTCAACTCTAGGTGTGCAGCCAAGGAACTGAAGGCACAAGAGGCAGCTCCGAAAAAAAGTCCCTGAAAGTCATCAGTATTTAAAGCCAGCATTTAATATGAATATGCAAAAATCAGCCAGTGACTTTTCATTCAGAATAATGGAGACTTTACTGGTAAATGAATGAAATGTGACATGGATAGGGACGGAATGCAGATCAACTCTGACCAACGACTGGAAGAGTTCATTGAACTTTTGGTTAAAGATAAATTCTAGACACTCAAATGAACACATCCAGTATTGGTTCCCAAGTTATATCTAGTAAGTATGCAGCCCTTTGCATGAATCAGCGGTTACATGCTGTTATTGTAAGCAACAGATCTTAATAATTAAGAAGGATTTATTGGTCTAGGCTCTGAAACAAAGTATGTGAAATCCATAACATTCTGTGCAAGTCATATGCAAACAGTGCTTTTGTATGCAGAGTTAATACCTTTCTAATTCAATTGAAGTCAGTGGTCTTAAAGGTGTGTAACTCTACTTAGAATGGCACTGTAGACTTTTGAATTGTTTATGCATTAGGTTGTCAAAAAATTCTTTGGCTGCAATCTGCAAAACCGCTGGCCCTGATTTTATGCCATCTGTTTGGAACAAATGATTTAAGAATTACAGTCATAGCTGGTGGAAGATGACACACTGATTCAATATACTGTATTTTGGTATTCTGTTAAAAGTAGTTGGCACTCTTCCCCACTTGTCACTAAGAAAATGAAAACGAAAACCCCACAATACTGAGAATGGTAGTTGTGTTCACTGTGTTCCCATCAGGACAAAAAAAAAAGGTAATATTTGTAGAAGGGGTGATTTTAGGTAACGTGATGTAGATTGGTTGTTTTTGTACTTTTAACAAAATTAAATCTGAAAGCGTGCACCTCCTGAAACATTTCTTGGAACTGCTTCTTTGGACTTGTTAGTTTGAAAACTGAGGACATGATTTTGCAATTTCAGAAATGTCTCAAACTGAAAAGAATTGCATCACGTAGAGATATTTTTTGTTTGTCTCAGTGGAAGTTGTAGTCCTATGGTCTATTACATGTGCTCTTTAAATGGACTACAGTATTAGTTTGCAAAAACGTGCGCCAAATTAAAGACTGGCATTATTATATAGCTCAGCAGTGGTGCATTCAGGGATATGGAAGAAAATTGCATGGGAATTTACTAAGGGAGGTTCATTAATTTCTTCCTGCTGTGTGTGTGTTTGACAGTTTGCCCTTCTGCGTTTGGGTGGAATAAAAAATCTACTTTTCTGCTTCTCCTCACTCATATTTAGGGGAAAGGGTGTACACACTATATCAACAGAATGTTTTAAGATCTCTCCTTCCAACCAATTTTAAATTGTCCTGTTTAAAAGGTATCTTTCAGCTTTGCTGTTGAAGCTGCTGAAAGTGGGTGAGGGGTAGGAATCCCAGAGTCCAGTCTTAACGGAACGTGTGATATGGCTGTGTGCGTGGCCCTTGCAAACTCGCAGGGCTACTCTGCTCAAGTGGTTCTCCCCACACATCAAACACTGTGTGTGGTATCAGGGCACCTTTCCTAGCTCTTTTAAGCTTGCGTTCATACAGTCTAATGAGGAGGCTGTGGCTCAGGGGTTGAGCATCTCTTTTGCATGCAGGAGGTTCCAGGTTCAATCCCCAGCATTTCCAGGTGATGTGAAAGACCTCTGTCCTGAGACCATGGTGAGCAGCTGCCAGTAATGGTGGGCAATACTGATCCTAGTCGATCAATGGTTTGACTCAGTATAAGGCAACTTGATATGCGCTCATGGTTGCTGTCCGTGTACTCACAGGGTCCTAGTCTCTCTTCTTTCCCCCGATCTGTTTCTTCCTGTACCCAGAGCCACACTGTTCGCTACAACAAAACAAATAGAAAATTACTCTTCAGAGAGACTGAGGCTTATTGTGTGGCTACACTGTGGAAAGTGCTTTATAGCTCCTGAAAGTTGATCGATGCTTAAAAAAAAAAATTACTGCTTGCATCCTCAGTTCCAGTGTAAAATTAAATCGGGCAACAGTTTTGGAAAGTTTACAAGCAATGACTCGGATAAATCCAGCAGCTGGATATTTTGTGCCTAGTTTATTGTGCCTTTTTTTAAAAAAAATGAGCCTTATTTCACAAATTAAAAATGGGATACTATGAACTCAGATTTCGAGGCCTTCCTCTGCTTGTTTACCAGAAAGGTCAAATGATGGGAAGCAAAGAAAAACGGGGCCATGGGTCACGTAGTGTGATCTTGATGTTCTGTGAGAGTAGGTGTGTGAAATAAATATTTGGTGTGTGTTTTGGAATGATAAAATTGTCCGGCATGGTGCACCTTGTTCAGTCTAGCTGTTTGCTTATACCACACGATTGTAATGATAAGTTCCCCCTCCAGCCCACTAACTACAGTTCTGGGAATATTTACAAAATCCTTTCACAATGCAAGATAATCTATTATATATCTTTGACTTGGATCCTGCATAAAGTTTCCACAAATTGAAGGATTTCCATCCGCAAAACATGACTTCCCCTATTCTACTGCAGCACCAAATGCCCCCCCCCCAATGTTTCTCCCAGGGGAAAGGGAACTCCAGGAATAGATTGCAGAGGGACGCAGAGGTCTGCCATAGTTGGGGTGGGGTGGGGATATATATAGCAACAGTCATCTGTGCATTTGGAAGTTTTAGGTGAGATCCAACCCATATATTCTAATCCTTTCCCTTAATCAGTCTGGTAACATAATATTTTTGTTCATCGTCATAGCATCTTTGTGAGGTCATTTTAGTTCTCATTTTAAAGATTGGGAACTGAAGATAAGAAGGATATAACTACCCAGGCCATCCAGTGAGTCTATGACTGAACTGAGAGTTAATCATGTGTCATATCCCAGCTACTATTTGTAAGAAAGAAAGAGATACACAAGTTTCTTTTCAGGATATGCCAGCCTGCATTATGGAAAGCCAGTTGCACAGGTGTTTGCTTTTGGTTATACAATGTAACATGTAAAGTTTTTTTCAGTCTGGATGCTGCATTGGGTCATCTTAATTTCTTCTGGTTGATAAAATACTGGGAATGAAGGGTTCCAACCTAAAGTTTTCCTGTAGCAGGTAGGAAGTGTTGGTCTGAACTCCAAATTTCCAAAGAGGGACAGAAAGCAAAATTAATACAGTTGCCTAGATACAGATACCTTCACAGTGAATAACTTAACATTAGGCTACGTGCTGAGGCTACGTGCTGATCTGACTAATTAATGTTCACTTACATACATGGCTCTTCAGAATAGCAACTGTGGCTGAAAGTGTAGTCTCCAACACTTAAAAGTAATTCATCCCCATTTAACAGTTGATGAAGAATCTCTTGGTTTTGACAGTAGGAGAGGCTACAGTTAATAGATGGGCAAAGTCTAAACTCTTTGTAAATAGTTGAATGTATGAGAGATGCCTTCAAACTGTTTATAACTCTAGAATGATTAGATGCAAACAACAGGGAAATGGATGGGAGATCATGAGAAATGTGACTAGGACTGTTGACTTTGTAGAAGAAGCGTTGGATTTATACCACACCCTTCACTTGGAGTCTCAGCGGTTTACAATCTCCTTCTGTTCCTCTACTTACAACAGACACCCTGTGAGGTAGGTGGAGCGGAGAGAGCTCTGAGAGAACTGCTCTTGAGAGAACAGCTCTGAGAGAAGTGTGACTGACCCAAGTTCACCCAGCTAGCTGCGTGTGGAGGAGTGGGGAATCAAACCCGGTTCTCCCAGATTAGAGTCCGCTGCTCTTAACCACTACACCAAACTGGCTCTCCAGTTGATATATATGGAAAACCTTGGAAAACTTTGGATATATATGGAAACCATGGATATATATGGAGAACCTTGAAAAACTTTAGTACAAAAAACTTTGCAAGAGCAGAAGTGCGACAGATTATTCTATGTGCATTCTACAAAGTAACAAAAGCAAAAAAAGAACCAGTCTAAAATAGCATATTTATTTATTTAGATTTGTGAATCGCCCAATCCCTGCACACACAAGGCTCTGTGTGATACACAAAACTATGTTAAAATTAATAAAAACTATAAATTAATTACATAATCTCAGATGGCGTCAATAATTTTCTTTGTACCGACTCCAGACTGTATTGCCATTTTGTGGGCAGGGCAAGGAGGGGGCCGAAGCACAAAGATGAAGGAAAAGAAGAAAAGGGTGCCATCCATGATGGAAACCACTGCTGTCCTCAACCAAAAACCTGGTAGAACATCTCTACCTTACAGGCCCTGTGGAATCGCACTGTGTCCCTGGTGGTATTTGGCAGAGAGTTCTACCAGGTCAGAGGTCAAGGACAGCTGGATATTTTGGGGGGCAGGGATCACCAGTAGATTGTTCTCAGAGGAGCGTAAGGCTTTCCTGGGGACGTACCCAAGGAGATGGTCTCGAAGATATGCAACTCGCAGACCGCTCAAGGTGGTCTCAATATCTCAAATGAATCTCTTAAAGAAAACAAAAACATTTTCCCCATTTCTGATTTTGATCTTAGTTGCATAAAAATTCATCTGTGGAATGAAGCTTGCTCCTTTGAGAAGAAACAGATGGATCTTTTTTAGTTCTAGCCAGTACCAGATATGGAGATGTTTAAATACTTTTTGAAAGTAGTATTGTGAATGGAGGTGGGAGATTTCATGGTTGTCGTCTCTGCTACTACAGTGCTATCCCTGGGTCACTGCGGGGGCTTTGTTATCTTAATAGTATGTGTGTCAGGTTAGGAGCCTTTTTAGAGGGATTGCAGCTCTCAAAGGTTTCTGGGAAGCGTAGTTGTGCAATACAAGGACAAGCTGACAGGACGGGTTTGGGAGGCATCAATGCAAGATAGTAATCACAGCCATTGTACTGGAGTCTTCAAAGGAATTAGACCATAAAATGTTGAAATACCATGAAGTATAACTCTACTCTGCTTAGTAGCCTGATGTGCTATATATTTAACTATCAGCACTGAAACTCAGGCTAGTTTCTGTTTCTGTGTCTTCCAAATAACATCCTATGTAAAACACACTTTTTTAAAAAAAAACCAAAATCTGTTTACTCAAAATGGAAACCCACTGAGTTCCCTGGGACTGCTTAATAAGTGTGTGTTTAGGATTGAAGCCTGAAATACTTTTAAATCCCAAGTAACTGGACATAAATGGGCAGTTCTAAGACGGAGCAGATATTTCATCAGGATTATCTAATATTGTTGAATGCAGCTGTGTAAACTTTGTTCTTCTTGGTGGATAAGCAAAGGTCCAAGTTTAATATTTTAAAGATGGCTTGTAAATAAATTGATCCCATTATAGCATTTTAGCAAACTATAAACCATCAAAGCCCTTTTTAAACGTTGCCCTCAAAAGTTAGATGAAAGTAGCAAGAGGTCTGGCTGCTTGCGATGTGGGGCTTGGCTCCATTCCTGCCCTCCCAGCTATTTGCAACCATCTATCTGCCAGACAATTAGAGACCCTGCCTTTTTGAGGATGTTCTCCATGGGAAAATATTTCAGTTTCCTGCCCAGTTTTATGCTCTTTCGTGTGATTTTAAGTAGTAGAATAATTTATTCAAAGCTATCAGTTTGCCAGTTACAGAATTCAAGTGTTCTTGGGCTGGATCCAAACTATCAGTGCGCTCATAAGAACACTTTCCTGGGAGGAAGCCCATTGAATACACCTGAGGAACTCTGCGTAGACCTATTTAAGATTGCTTGCTAAATTGGTAATTTCCACTGAGTTTCCCCTTACGGCTGCAGATTTGCTCTTGAGAGCGTACCCTGTTGCCCAGGAGCAGCACTTTGCGGAGACAGAGGGGAGGCAGGAAGGTTTTGTTCAGCTGATGGAAAATTTTATCTGACCCGTAGGTATGAAATTTGCATTGACATGGCACAGAATGGTGGTGGGGTGATTGTGAGAATAATCACAGCCTTCACTGTTGGTGATGTGTAATTGTACAAAAGAGAGTTTGCTGGGTTAGCACAATTTACTGTTGGTCTCAATATTTGTACTCTTATGCCTTGAAATCTGCAATAGCACTCTAACATCTGTCCCCCATTTTCTATCACATCTGGCAACCCAAATGACCAGTGACCTGAGAATGGGTTTTTCTGCCAGTTTGCTTCTTCCCGTGACTAGAAAAGGCAAATTATGAAAAAGCAATCCATGGAAATTTCTATTTTGAATATGTGCGACATGCATAACCAACATGCTGTGCTGGTGCTAAAGTGTGCTTTATTTGTTCATTCGTTTATAACCTGCGTTTCTCTCCACTGGACACCCGAAGCGGTTTACTCTTCCATTTTATCTTCACAACAATCC